ATACATCTGCACACTTTTACATGCACACAACCACACACCTGTACACAGTATGTTCACACACTTGCACACCTGTACATCCAAATACCCGTATATCCACACACCTGTAAACCTGAACATCTTTATACCCACATTTATGTACATCTGCACATCTGTACTCCTGTACATCTGTACTCCTGCACATCTGTACTCCTGCACATCTGTACTCCTGCACATTTGTACACCTGTACATCTGCACACTTGTACACACACACACACCTGTACATCCAAATACCCGTATATCCACACACCTGTAAACCTGTACATCTTTATACCCACATTTATGTACATCTGCACATCTGTACTCCTGCGCATCTGTACACCTGTACATTTGTACACCTGCACATCTGTACTCCTGCACATCTGTACACCTGCACATCCAAATACCCGTATATCCACACACCTGTAAACCTGAACATCTTTATACCCACATTTATGTACATCTGCACATCTGTACTCCTGCACATCTGTACACCTGCACATCTGTACACCCACACACCTCACAGTGCAGAATGGCTGAGACTGTTCTGTGCTGAGCTCAGTGTGAGATGAAAAGGTGAAATTATCCTCGGTGTAAATTTTTTTCAGTTCAACCTTTATCTCTACAGGTTAGTCTCATGGAGCCTCGAGGACTCATTTACAAGAGAGAGCTGACTTAACAAAGAACACAGATGACAACAGTAAACATTCATAAAAAGCAAATAAAATGAAAAGTAAATGGAAGAAAGGATAAAAATAAAAGACAGCTCCGTTATTAAGCGATATAAAATACTAAAAACAGGAACATGTCTGCGTTGGTTTTGCCATGAACTTAGCAGTTTAAATAATCTCGTCCTCAGGGTTCCCCAGGTGAGGTGCTGAAAGACCCCCGGGTCCAGTGCTGGATTGAAAACTACCGCAACCTGCTGGACGCATGGAGGTTCTGGCATAAACGGGCCGAGTTCGACATCCTCAGAGGCAAAATGGACCCCAGCTCTAAACCACTGGCTCAGGTGCTAATCTGAGGAAAAGATGATTTTTATATTTTTAACACTGAAATTATTTTTGGATGTAAACATTTTATATTTTTGTAAATTAGATGGATTCGATGTCTTGACATTGCCATTATCATTCTTGAGTGTTGTCTTGAGTTATTAATGTTTTATTGTATAAATGCTGGCACAGCATTAATATCATTAGTGTTATTGTTAAATATCCTGATTCATGTTCAATAATCCAGGTAGAAAAATCTAAAAAAGTTCAATCTGCTCCTCTGGACATCCAAAAAAAAGTTGTTTTTTTGTTGTTGTTTTGAATGTCCATAGGACCAGATTGAACTTTTTTAGGTTATTGTTAAATGTTTATTTAACCAGGTAGATCTCATTGAGATTAAAAATGTATTTTTAACAGCGCCCTGGTCAAGAGTGGCAGCAGCACACAGACATGACCAATCATAAAACCACAGATATCAAAACACAATTAAAATGCATCACGGCAAATAAAAGACAGAAAATAAAAACACCCATGAAAATTAAAATTCACGCCAGCTTCGGTTTTTAGTTTTACTTGCATTTTTTAAGTCTTACTATTTCTGTACACTTTGGGCTATTTGGGCCATGTCTTTGATTAAAATGTTCAGCTCGTTCAGGAGACAGCTGCTGCCACTTTTAGTTTTTGTAACTTTTATTCTTTTCAAAATGTTCTCCATTGTTTATAAATATATTTCCCATAAAATTGCTTTTTCCTAGCATTTTACTATTTTTCCTTTTTGCTGTTTGTTGCTTTTATCAAACCTTTTGTTGCTTTCAGCTTTTGCATAGCATTTAGCTACTTTTAGCTTCAGTCTGCTGTTTTGCTACATTTAGCTAGATTTTAGCTTCTTTAAGCTTTTAGCTAGTGTTTTGCTACTTTTGGGTAGTATTTTGCTGCATTTAGCTTTAAGCTAGTGTTTTACTGCATTTAGCCAGCCTTTTGCTATTTTTAGCTAGTGTTTTTCTCCTTTTGACTTTCAGCTAGGTTTAGCTTCTTTTAACTTTTAGCCAGTGCGCTGCTTCTTTTTTCTTCTAATGATTAGCTTATTTTAGCTACTGTTTTGTTCCTTTTGACTTTTAATTAATGGACAGCTTCTTTTGGCTTTTAGATTGCATTTTGCTTTTGTAGCTTTTAGCTATTGTTGCATTTCTTTTATTGTTTTAGCTATTAATTTGCTCCTTTTAGCTGTTAGCTAGCATTTTGTTCTTTTTATCTTTTAGCTAGTGGTCTTCTTAAGGTTTTGGTTAGTATTTAGCATCTTTCAGCTTTAACAACTCAGTTTCAACTTCTTTAACAAATTTCAGCAATCATTCTGTTTTGTTAGCTAGTGTTCTGCTACTTTTACCATTTAGCTATCCCTTTTTATTTAAGCTATGGTTTTGCTACTTGTAGCTTTAATGACTCTGCTTCAGCTCCTTCAGTAATTTTCAGCAGTCATTCAGCTCGCAGCGTTTACATTTAGTGTTAGACTTCTCCCGTCCCCTAAAGAGTTGCACCCCCTCAGCTGGTGAGCAGTTGGTCTTTTGGCTTTACCTTCATGCTCTTCGGCTGTTATCAACCGACCTCTGTGTTTGTTCTGGGCAGGTGTTTGTGAGCTGTAACTTCTGTGGGAAGTCCATCTCCTACAGCTGCTCGGCGATCCCTCACCAGGGCCGAGGCTTCAGCCAGTACGGCGTCAGCGGCTCGCCCACCAAGTCCAAGGTGACGAGCTGCCCCGGCTGCAGGAAGCCGCTGCCTCGCTGCGCCCTCTGCCTCATGAACATGGGCACACCTGTGTCCAACTGCTCAGGTAGAGACCACCTGAGACGAGAGCAGCTCAAGGCTGTTAGCTCCTGGATGTTTACAGCCACCTTGTTGCTGGTTTTTATTTGGCAGGAACAGGAAAGTCGGAGGAGAAAGTGGACCTGACGAGGGAGAACAAACTGGCTCAGTTCAACAACTGGTTCACCTGGTGTCACAACTGCCGGCACGGGGGCCATGCAGGTCACATGCTCAGCTGGTTCAGGTAGAAAACTCGTTTAAGACATTTTTAGACTTGAGCAAACACGCTCACAACGTTGTGTACGTTCAATCATGTTTGATCCTGTAATAAAAAGGTTAAAAAAGTTCCCTAATCAGAATTTATCCATAAATTCAGGGGAAAAATCATTTAGTTTTCAAATTAAATATAAAACTAGCTGCTCCATGGCGTCATTAAAGATACCAGGAACATTTAATTTGTATTTTTGTGTAGAAACTTTAATGCTGACTGTTGAAAACACAAACGTAAAAATAAGTCATTTTTATTTTATTTTGATAATTTATTAAGCAAAGCACTTCCTGTATTATAAAATTACACTTCCTTCTTATTATCTGTCAATCTTTACCCTGCTTATTCAGGGTGGCATTATTTACTTCTGTAGAAAATAAAACAGGAATTATTGTTGTGTATTTATTCTCATAATTTTTTCATTTTTTATTCAACCTTTATTTCACCAGGAAAATCCCATTGAGATAAAGAAAAATCTCTTTTGCAAGAGAATCCTGGCCAAGACCGGCCGGAGCACACCAGGTTACACAACATTCACAGCAAAAACAACAAAAAGTTAACTCCGTCATAAATAAGTTAATTAAAAGATTCCTCAGTTAAAACATTTACAGATGATTCTTCTCTAGATCAGTAAGAACAACCTTAAAAACATTTAGTGACAGCAGCTCCTTCAGGTCCATGTATTTCTGCAGCTGGTTCCAAGAAGATGGAGCAGAAAACTGAAAAGATTTATTTCTTAGTTCAGTTCGGACTTCAGGCACCGAAAGTAAAGACAAGTTCTCACAATGAAGAGAGTATCCTCCCGTGGACTTTCTCTTTATAAAGGCCAACAAATACGAAGGAAGTCCTAGTATGGCCTTATAAATAAAAACAATTCAGTGGCGGAGTGTACGAGTGGCCAAGGCCGTCCATCCAATCCGGGTGTATAAAGTGCAATGATGTGTAAAACCTTTTAACCTATTATAATTTTTAAAACTGCATGATAAACAGTATCCAGCGAATAAAGACATTTAAGAGGAGCATGCATGTATAAAATGTCACCATAGTCGAGTACAGACATAAAAGTAACATCAACCAGTTGTTTTCTAGCCTCAAAAGATCGACAGGATCTGACCCTGAAGTAAAACCCCAGTTTCAATCTCGGCTTCTTCACCAGCGGTTGAATGTGGGACGTAAAAGACAAAGAATCATCTATTAAAAATCCTAAATATTTATACTGTGATACTTTTTAAATTTTCAGATATTCAGCTTTAGTAATGACTAGAAGATCCTTACTTTCCAATCTCCCATTGGAAAACAGCATCACCTTCGATTATCAGCATTTGAAACAAGCTTAAGGTGATACAAATTTGTAAGACGTTAAAAACTGACTGTAATTGATTAAAAGCACAGTTAGGTGAGAGACCAGACCAGAACAATATAAAACAGTATCATCAGCATAAAAATGAAATTTTGCATGAG